AGAGACAAAGGTTTCTCCAACATACTTCTCTGATCTGCTAAAACTTTGGACATTTTGGCAGACCCATCTCTCTCCTGCTGCGGGGACAGAGGTCTCTGCTATCTGCATGGAGATAACCTTGTAGGAGTAAAAGACTGACGAGGCAGCTCTTCACCACATGATAAATGGAGCAGGATTCATCTGGCTCTTTTATCCTGTTTCATTTGGCTTTTACTCGACTCTGTTTCTGTTTACGACCCTTCCATCATTCACTTGTCCAAATCTAAGATTTACAATTAGAAGTGCTGACACAGAAGATACTACATTATACTTATGACATTAATGCAGATGTTTTCAATGACAAGGCATAATGCATAATGAGTCCGGAAGAAAATCAAATATAAATGTGTCTGAATGCATAGGAGACAGTGGAGGCTTTTTGTTTCAGAGGGAAAAGGCCAAGAAGGCAACATAAGAGCTGGAAAAAAAAGAGAAGCCAAAGTCAAGTGAGAACTCAAGCAACAAGAGAATGTGGACTGCACAGAAAACTGGCAGCATTTTTGAATGTGTCTGTACGTGCACTTGGCGTATGTGTGCTGCAAAGGGGCCTCCCGTACACTTAGCTGGAGCCACTTAGCTTTTGGATGGCGGCATTTAATTTAGGAGAGGTCGTCTGAAAAGCCTGGTTTGATTGCTTTTCTAAAACAACTTCATCTAAAAGCTTTAAATAACTAAATACCTCAGTGACAACAGCAAAGCAGTTCCAAACTCTTAACTACATCCCTGTGCCTGGGAATACACACAGAGCCACATCCATTAAATGGCATCAGTTGTGTGGTTACGGCATGAGTGGGTGGCTCAGAGAGAGCAGTGCCTTGAAATGAAATTAGGATTAGTGTGAGCAGTCGATTCCGCCAGGATCCTGCTGACTTGGAGCCAGACAGCAAGCTTCTTGATCTGTTGCTTCTTCTTCTTTATCTACTTTATCTCCCCTTATTTCTCTGCACTCACAACTTCTTTCAGTCTCTGTTTGTCTGTATCTTCCTCTCCGGTTATGGCTGAGCTGACATTTACAAGGAGGCCACAGCAGGGTTCACAGAAGGTAACAGTCATAAAGTTAGACACACCTCTAAAGGCTGTCTCATTCACGGACACATACAAATGAATTGGCCATGTGACTGCTGTGGCACAATGCCAGTGGGTTGTTTTTTTTTTCCACCTGCAAATTAACCAGGAGGAGGCGGAACTACAGCTCAGAAGATACTGGAATTTATTACAGGACTGCCTGATATGAAGTCACAACAGCTCATGCTAATTTCCCCCATAATTCACACGTCCAAATTTCCACTGTTCTGTTTCGCTTATGTTGTGCCGATCATCAAAACATGTTATGCTTTTAAGACAATTCTAGCTTTGTAAGCTTGGAGGATGTTTTGGTGAGTAAGGGAATGACTAATCTCTCCTCATCGCTACATGTTGTACCAATGATGGTCACTGGCTGTTCATCAGAAGAAACATGAAAGAGCCTTTTGCCAGAGAAACGTTTGGGATTCTAGTTTCAACTTCTTCGTTTTAAGTAAATTTGATAATCGGTGTGCTACAGAACAGCACCGAGCTTGTGCATGAGTTCATCTTCCAAGAAAAGCACAATAACCTACAGTTTCAAGAAAATGAGATCCAGCAACATCTGAGGTAAAATTAAACTTCCCTTGTTTGCTGTAAGATTACATTTTACCACAGAAGACCACATCAGTTGCCAGCTAAGAACAGGATACAATGTCATAAATAAAACAACAAACTCTTGTTCTCTCAGAAAAGCTGAAACTCCAGTTCAAAGGCGGTGCTGTTTATCATCACCCAGAATATATATATAGTGGAGTCCTGTGCAAACGCACAGCTGTGGATTAATGGCAATATGGGAACCATACAGGTCAAAGGAAATCACTGTCTTGCTTTATCTCTTTAGAAGAGCTGTCACATGTGGGAATTAGGTTTAAACCTGTCGCAAATGTGTCGAGTTCTGCAGTAGGAACAGAGATGACAGAGAGGGCAAAAGATCAACTTTATATTGCATTTGAAAAAATTACTTCACAACTCTGGTTAGAAGATGACAGAAAAAGTTGCATTAATGTTATAGAGACTGGTACTATATTTGGCAGAAAAACATTTGTACAAACTTGGCAACAGTGAAATAAAAATCTAATTTTGTCAAATGAACTAAGGCAATAAAATCAGCATCATGACTTTGTTGGACATTGACTGTACTTCAAATGACTGCTCATTCATTTTGTGCATGTTATCAGTTCTTAACAAGATCAGACAGTTTAAGAGGGAGTAGTTTCAGACTGCATCCCGAAGTGTTACTTAAAGCTAACTAAATGGGTTTCTATGATGTAAGTGTGTAAGTGTGTGTGTGTCCTACATTATAATTCAACCTTAAATCTACATGACAGAGAGTAAATGACGGACAATAAAATCACTTCCTTCATGTGTCCAAGACATTACAGCCACATTTTGTTACGCTCTACTTTTCTCTTCCTCTCTGTCAGATTTTCTGAGGATAAATGTGTCTCATCTACAGCAGCCGTTCCCAACCTGCAGAACTTTTTCAGTTACCAGATGACAAAGGGAAGATTGTGGAGTGGCTCATCTAATATGAAAAAACAAAACAAGCAAACAAAGCAATGGAAATAGTGACTCACTATGTAATACCAATTTAGTGTGTTTGAAAACTAATCAAATTTAATGGGTAAATGATTATCTATAAGCAAAAAATTCAATGCAAACAGCATACTTGTTGAAATGTCCACCTCGCTACACCAAGTAAACACCAATGCAACCTTGCCATTGGTACTAACATTTTAAACACAAAAACTTCTATATTCATATTTATTTAAATGTGATTTAACCAGTTACAACTTGACCAAATGCTTTTGTGAGCTATCACCAAGCTTCTGGCATAATTCTGACTGAATACTTGATCTTTGTTGGCATGGACCCAACTTTTACAAGCTATTTGTTTCCAAAACCATTGTTAATAGGTGTCCTGTCAGTTCATTGTCCTGTTGGAGCAGCCAATTGTGTTTCAGTCAAGCTTTAAGATGTTGATTTTTACGGCAGGGGCTTCTTTCGTGGTCGGCTACGGTGAAAAAAGACTCATTCTAGTTAGTTTGGTGTTCCAGCAGTTTACAGTTCATGGCAGGTTTAGCCTTGATGGTTCTTGCATTGTTTCTGAGCATCCTAAGAAATTTTCTTTGATCTGAGTGTAACTGATTGGGTCTTTTTATGACCCTGGCAAAGTGGTGATGATGCTTGAATTTCCTTTTTTTTTTTTTCCTTTTAATAAATAGCCCATTAAGCTTCTGGAATGGGCTTCCCAAATCCTCACAGCTGTTGAAGATTTTGTAGACTATGCAAAAGCCAGGTCTGCTAGCACACAGACTAATTTTAATTAACTAACAATTTTGCCAAGAAGAGTGGTCAGAATATCCCCCAAAAATAATGCCAGAAGTGTACTGATGACTAGCAAAACATCCGGTCGAGCAGTTTTCTAAGGAAAATTTAACAAAAAGTTAGTAGGCAATATATGCTTGACCCTGTATGTTTACTTTTAAACCTCTGCGGATTTCCAAAATAAATTCCTGTGCACCCAATCCGTGTTTTTTTAAATATATAAAGATGTATGGTGTACAGTCATTCTATGTCTCTTGGAAAAATAACTGTTCAAGAAATGATTAAAAGCCCAGTATTACTATGACTTTGATGCTGCATGATGATAATGATAATGAAAATATGCAAAGAAAATCTGACTTTACAGAAAGTTCTGAAGCAGATGTGTACTCCACGTGACAAAGAAAACAGAAGAACAACTAAACATAGTAAAGGTTGGTCTTCTTAAGTCATCAAAGTTATAAGATGGCCTATTTTTACCCAAATTAACAAATTACTCAGTGACTAAAGAAAGCAAGTTTTTTTTACATGTAAAAACTTATCAAAACTGACTTCTGCAGGTTTTTATACAGAGCAGAGATCCTGTTTTTGCAAATGTGAAGGCAATCAAACAAACAAACAAACAAACAAACAAACAAACTGTTTTGCCATTTATGAGGATGTATTGCATTTGAAACATAATGGTTGGTGCAAAAGTGTAGTTGAATTCAGCTGGCAAAGGCATTTGGAAAAACTGATCCAGAACAGCTGAAAGATCATTTGATATCCAGTCAGTCACAAACCTTGTTCATGCGAGCTGAACAAACAAAACTGCCTTCTCTGTGTTATTTAAACGATTTTCACTTTAAATAAACACCTTGTTTCATGCACACAAGCAAAACATCAGAACAAAAGCACAGCAGGAGTTATAGGAGTGCAGATTTGCTCAACTTCCACAGGAAAAACTCTCAGTTTTTCCAACTGAACAGAGTTTCCAAATAAACACAATATCTTGAGTATCTGTAGAATAGGGCACCACATGCAGAGGAGGGATATTGGATAAATTGGGCAAAGAATAATGAATGTGGGGTTGCCAGGCTCGAGGAGAAGAGGAAGACTACATACACCAGAGAAGATGTTTGGATGTTGTTAGAGAGGACATTCAGAGGATTGCTGTGAAGGAACAGGATATAAAGGGTAGGGTGAGACAGAGGCAGAAGAATGTGTGAAATATGGACATAGCTCCTTTTTATGATGCTCTTCTTCTCACGTTATGTCATTCTTTTTGTTATATTTTTCATCAAAAATATAAGGAGATTATCAAAATATGTAGTGTTAGTGGCTTGAACTGAAGTTAATAGCTTTGAACTGATTTCATAAGAGATAAAGTTGAACCTTTGACTTAAAGATTTCTCTTAGATCACTGTTCAGTGTCTGTTTTGAGGCTCCTAAGAGCTCCTTAAACATCATAAATTACAATTTATGACTAAGCTCTAAGATAACATTCATTCCTCCAAAACCACCTAAATCTCCAGTGGAAATCAAAAACATTTTATGGTTGTCAAAGTCATCCACTGACACACACACCTTACCTGCAAGGCAAAGTCCAAATATGGTGAGAAGAACCAGGATGTAGAGGAAAACAATGGCGTACTTGATAGATGAGAGGGAGTTCAGATGGCTGCAACACTGGTCCTGCTTCCTGCGACGCTTTGTAGAAACTGAAAAGAAGGATTTACTATAAATACCAGCAAATGGCATTCTGAACGAAATCATTAACCATGAGTTGTTCCTAGTAAGAACAACAATTCGGCTAAATGTCTCTTACGTTGTGAAAGAACAGAGGTAAAAGTCAGCGAACATAATGGAAATCAGATTTATTGCTGAATAATAATTGTAAAAGAAAATCCAAGATTCCCAACATCCATATTTTCCCTCTTTGAACTTCTGAATGACGCCCAAAACTCAACAAGCACGCTAACTGAAAGTTCACTTTGAACCCAAGAGGTATTTGATCACGTTTGCATAATATTCCATAATAATATTGCCTGTGCAAAAACAGAAAAACAAAGCTGCTCTCTATTTCATTCAAGGTTCAACCAAGCAAAAAGTTGCCCAAAAAATTGTGAAAATAGTGATATTTAGTAGTATTAAGTAACAATTAAAAAAAGTTGGTTACAAAACAATTTAATTGTATGATGACAAGTTTAAGTTTGGTTGGAAATTACCAGGGGTGTAATTTTCAGGGGGGTTAGGGGGGTTATGACCCCCCCCCCATAATCAGACCCAACCAATATAACCCCCCCACTAAAATTAAGAATTATCTTGCATAAAAAGGCTGTTGATTTTCTTTACTCATCTCAGTTATTACCAGCAAAATAGTTGCATGTTTAATCATCTGGGAATTTATCCAGAATTTATTATTTATTTATACAGAGATCTGATCTTCCATCACCATAACTTTGTGCTGAACATTGATCTCCCAATGTTCAGCACAAAGTTACGCTGATGGAAATTACTTGTATATTCCTCATATCATATCTGGAAACAGGGTTATTACAAAGGAAAGAGTTAATAAATTTAAACTTATAGTACATCATAACACACATACATCACAAAGTTTCCTATAAGGGAATTCATCTGACTGGACTATGTTACACAGCATGAACTGCACAAATGGTCTCACTAAGGAGCTCTTGCTGTAATGCATGTCAGCACTTAGCACTGCTCTCAAGGTCAAACAGATGTTTGAGAATTAGTCTTAATAAAACTGACATAGCACCGTTTATGAGTAATGAACTTTTTTTCCCTTCTACATCTGTGTGTGTGTCAGACAGCTTGGCAGGAGGCAGCAATGAGGCAGTTGATGTTGCTGATGGGAACATTCCTTTTAGGTCAAGAGGATGGGAAGAGATTTTCTAAGGAGTCACATTCTTCATCATATATTGGAATAGAAAAGAGAATTATGTGTTTTTTTCAAACATTAAACGTATAATTCAAAGATTATTGTGTTACACACAGATAAAGTCATTTTTGTCTCAAGGAAACAACAAGACGTAATTGTTTTTCTACTTTATTTCAATTTCTAATAGCATTATCTGCTTT